TGTGTGTGTGTCACTGTGTGTGTGTCTCTGTGTGTGTCCCTGTGTGAGTGTCTCTGTGTGTGTGTCTCTGTGTGTGTGTCACTGTGTGTGTCACTGTGTGTGTGTCTCTGTGTGAGTGTCACTGTGTGTGTCTCTGTGTGTGTCACTGTGTCACTGCGTGTGTGTCACTGTGTGTGTGTCACTGTGTGTGTGTCACTGTGTGTGTGTCTACGTGTGTGTGTCACTGTGTGTGTGTGTCACTGTGTGTGTGTCTCTGTGTGTGTGTCTCTGTGTGTGTCACTGTGTGTGTGTCACTGTGTGTGTGTGTCTCTGTGTGTGTGTCACTGTGTAGCGGTTAGCGCGCTGCGCTATGAATCTGGCGACACGGGTTCGATTCCCGCTCACGGCCAACACCAGTGACGATTTTCTGAACCGGTTCCGGGCCTCCCCTAGGTCGACTCAGCCTCAAAGGAGTACCTGGTGCGGTGTGTAAACATTGCCACTAGGGAGACAAAGGCGGTCGGGCGTGGTGCTGGCCACCCACCCCCTCGTGTACCGTTACCGGCCTTCATAGGTGCTCGCTAACAGCACTTGTCCTACAGTCTGTTAAGTCTATACGGGGGATCTTTGTCTTTAATCTTTGTGTCACTGTGTGTGTGTCTCTGTGTGTGTGTCTCTGTGTGTGTGTCTCTGTGTATATTTCTCTGTGTGTGTTTCACTGTGTGTGTGTCACTGTGTGTGTGTCACTATGCGTGTGTCACTGTGTGTGTCACTGTGTGTGCGGTGGTGGAGCGGTTAGCGCTACGCTGCGCTATGAACCTGGCGACCCGGGTTCGATTCCCACTCACGGCCAACACCAGTGACAATTATCTGAACCGTTCCTGGGCCTCCCCTAGGTCGATGTAAGGCATGGAACAATACAACTGTGCAGAGAAAGAAAGGGGGGGGGTCTCACTGTCATGTGGAGCGGTGTTGGGGGGCAAGGCGGATAGGATGTCGCGTTCTGTTGTTGTTGGTGACGTCTGCTTAGGAACCAGGTCGCCTGCGTAGACCTGTGGGCGTCTGCAAGAACACGGTCGACACAACAAAGACAAAGATCCTCCCCCCCCCCCCCCCCGTGTAGCCTTCACAGAGTGTTGGGGCAAGTGCTGTGAGCGAGCACCTATGAAGGCCGGTACAGCACACGAGGGGGTGGGTGGCCAGCACCACGCCCGGGTGCCTTTGTCTCCCCAGTGGCGATGTTTTTTAAACACCGCACCAGGTACTCATTTGAGGCTGAGTCGACCTCAGGGAGGCCCAAGACCGGTTCAAATTATCGTCACCGGTGTTGGCTTTGAGTGGGAATTGAACTCGGGTCGCCGGATTCGGAGCGCAGTGCGTTAACCGCTGCGCCACCACTCCCCGCAACTGGCGACATCTGGATGTCAAGTCCCGTGGCGCTGCTACCAATTACACCATCACTGCCGCAGCTTTCCAAATAGGCCTAAGTTTTCCTTTTTTTTGACAGCAACAATGTCTACATCGGATTGGGAACATGTAGACAATATGACTACCTCTTCGGCTGCCACTATGTCGAACAAATGTAGGGACAATTTGATTTCCAAATTCAATCACCTCTCCAGCAAAAAATCGGATCCACACACCGAAAAGATAGACGTCAACAAAGTCGTAATTAATCGCAGTAACAGTTCCATTTCTGATGGTCTGAAATCCGTTTTAGCTAAAGGTCTAAACTTTGCTGTCACACCGAGACACTTACCGGTTAATGATATCATTGCCCATGTCGACGTTGCACTCAAGGGCTTGAGTCACATCTCTGCAGACGTAGCAAGATCTGAAATCGCTGCAACCCTCAAAAACGCTAAGTTGCCACCTAGCAACATCAGCAAAGACGAACGTTTTGAATTATCTCAATTAAAAAAGAGGGATGATATTGTCGTTCTCTCAGCCGACAAAGGCAATGCCACTGTCATCATGGACAAAACAGAATATAACAACAAAATTCAAGAACTACTCAACGATGGCAGCTATACAAAAATAAAAAGAGATCCCACCAACAGCCTGGTCACCAAAACGAACAAAATTATCTCTGATTCAACAGCATTAATTGATGAGAACAAACAGTTCTTGTTGAAACCCTCTGCTGCCAGACCACCAAGATTATATGGCCTTCCAAAGATACACAAAGAAGATACACCCCTTCGTCCCATCGTCTCTACTATCAGCTCCCCCACCTACAAACTGGCACGTTTTCTGGCTGATATACTGCGACCTTTCACTGGAAAAACCACCTCTGCGGTACTAAATTCTACTCACCTGGTATCGACAATCAAAGACATTTCCCTGTCCCCAAACGACCTGCTTGTCAGTTTTGATGTGGTGTCCTTGTTCACCAAAGTCCCGGTACCTGACACCATCGCTATCATTGAAGACCTGGTTCATCAAGGACTGCATACTGATGTACCCCCCCTGGTGAGACATTGCTTAACCAACACATACTTCACCTGGAATGGAACTTTCTACAAACAAACTGAGGGCACCCCAATGGGCTCCCCCCTATCTCCGGTTGTAGCCAACGTATTCATGGAAAAATTTGAAACTGACGCCATCCAGACTGCCACTCTACGCCCGACCTTATGGAAGAGGTACGTTGATGACACCTTTGTCATCTGGCCACATGGCCAGCCTGCTCTAGACCAATTCCGCGACCACATCAATTCCATACACCCAGCCATCAGATTTACCATGGAGGTCGAAAAAGATGGCAAACTACCCTTTCTGGATGTCTTAATTAAAAGGAGACATGATGGTTCAATGAGCCACTCTGTCTACAGGAAAGCTACCCATACAGATGCTTACTTGAAACCGGATTCCCACCACCATCCATCCCAGAAGAACTGCCTCATCAAGACTCTATACCATAGAGCCCAATGCATTTCCGACCAGGAACACATTACCAGTGAACTCAAGCACGTACACCAGGCTCTCAGGGCTAATGGCTACTCCGACTACACAATCCGCAAAGCCATCACTCCAGTCATGAAGAAGGATCCTCTTGTGGAGCCACTCAAAACCATCACCTTACCCTACATTGCAGGGGTCACTAAAAAGATCTCCAAAATCCTGAATAAACACAAGATCCAGGTCCGATTCAACACAGTACACAAAATCCGTGATTTAGTTCCATCTGTAAAAGATGCTCTTCCAGACATACAGTACCCGGGCGTTTACAAACTAAAGTGTCTCTGTGGTAGTAGCTACATTGGAGAAACCAAAAGACATATCTCGGACCGCATCCGCGAACATAAAGCAGACTTGAAACACGGTAAGACGAACTCCTCTGCCGTGGCAGATCACTGTTACAATTCAGTGGGCTCACATGACATTGACTTCTCCAAGACGGAGGTTCTTTGCAAACCAACTGGCTACCATGAGAGATTCGTTCATGAGGCCATTCACATATACAAGCACAGAGACAATTTCAACCGAGAAGATGGATTCAGGCTTAGTAACCACTGGAAAGATGTGTTAAATCATTTCTGTTCTTAATTAATTGTAATTTTACGATGACCTTCAGACCGCAGCTCTTTCGCCAGCATTGCCTCTTAATACCTCTCACACCACGGTTAATGGTATGGTTTACAACATGGAGTATACTAGGGCTTCGCAGCTGTCTCTCTCCCCCTCCTCTGTTCCGACCATGGACGAACTCGTCCGTCTGAACGGGGCCCGTAGCTATCCGTGGTACGGAAATTTGAGGGTAAGAATCCACCCATTTTTTCGCCATATAGCATTGTGATATATAACGACTTATGGTTGGTAGCTTAGCTGATTGGAGAATATAGAGTTTATTGATAACATGAAGGTAATTTATATTTTAGTTTTTATTGGTTCACTATATAGTACTGTGAATAGCTCAGATGTGTAGTCATTTCTGTGACCAGTCACCAGCAAATCACCCAGTTATTTCAATGCTAAATTCGCCTAGTTATTTCAATGCTAAATTCTCCTGTTTTGATTTGTACTAAGTGCCTCGGTGAATGTGTATGCTCTGACTTCAACGTAACTATTTCTGTAGCAGTTACAAGCGAATGCCTTAATTTAGCTATTTCAATGCTAAATTCTATGCTAATTCCTTTTAACAATGGGTGCCTCTGCGGATGTGTATGCTTTAACTTTTAACATAGCTATTTCTGTGACCAGTCACAAGCTAATCATTCAGCCTTTTCAATGCTAAATTTTATGCTAATTCCTTCGTCAAGGCTCTTTGTTCCTCTCACACAGCTTAAAAGCCGTGATCTGAACGTGGCTCTCTCACTCCAGCGCTGTCCTACCAGACAGTCTCGCTCCCTTCACCTGATGAAGGCCGCTTGTGTTGTGGCCGAAACGTCGTGAGAATATTATTGTGTTATTTTATTTTATCAATTTATTATTTTATTCTCATTCTACGTGACTTTAACGAAAGAACCAAAGAAGCTAAGTTTTCCTCTTTAAAAACAGAAATCTTTGCAATCTGCAATGCACGTGGTAACTAATCTATGCACGTGGTAACTAATCTATGCACGTGGTAACTAATCTATGCACGTGGTAACTAATCTATGCACGTGGTAACTAATCTATGCACGTGGTAACTAATCTATGCACGTGGTAACTAATCTATGCACGTGGTAACTAATCTATGCACGTGGTAACTAATCTATGCACGTGGTAACTAATCTATGCACGTGGTAACTAATCTATGCACGTGGTAACTAATCTATGCCTATGGCAACAGTGACTCTAAACGTGGCCGATCTCGGCAGATCTCGGAAGCTAAGTCGGTTTGAGCCTGGATAGCGTTTGGATGGGCGACCACCACCGTGCAGAGAGAAGGAGTAGCAGGCATTGTCAGAATCTGGAGGAATCCGATGAGCTATGAAGCTCTATTTCACAGATGTCCAGTTGTGGACAGCACCGGGCAATGCAGCAACATCCCCTTGTTCTGCACACCCCACATTAGCAGAACTCCACTGACACGAGTCTTACCTTGCAGCTGCCGTTGCATCAAATTGTCCTGCAAAACACACACAAACATGGCTCAGAACGGCGGGGCGTGCAAGCAGGTATATGTCTGTGTGTCTCTGTCTTCTGTTTGGCTGAATAGAGGAGGCTAAACGGGCGCGGCACGGGCTAGAGAAGAGATGGAGTGATGTGGTACAGAAGGACGTGGAGCTGAGAGGACTTGCCGATAACTGGTACCAGCGGTGTCAAGACCGGCCTCTGTGGAGGAGGCTCGTGAACGACGCTGCTGGGCGTTTGGAGGCAGTCGCCCTCCAACAACAACGGAGGGCGGAGGAGCGACGCTCACAACAACGAGCGGAGCGCCGGGTGGCTAAAGCACAGCAGGTTGGCACAGTAGGGGGTACAGGTGGTGCATCAGCCAGTCATCTCAGTCATCTCAGTCAGTCGACCCGTGGCACCTGCTGAGTCTGCTCCGTGACCTCCTGCCAGCGGACGTTCGACACTTCACGTGGCCTCAACGTGCACATCGCCTGGCACAAGCGTCGTGGTGACGTCACCGCCACTTAGTGGCGAATGGCGGTTGTTGTTGTTGTTGCATTGCCACCTCTCCACTGGAGGCCAAACTTGGACACATTTCACAATCTGCCGAGGTCAGGGATCGGTAACCAACATAGCAACAAGAGCCACAATGCACCGTGTGGTGAATACGAGACGGCGGTCCTTAATAAATAACGTCACCAAGCAGGCCCTTAAAGAGCCGCACGCGGCAATGGAGCCGCAGGTTGCCGTCCCCTTTGGCCGAGGTCGACCATCAGAACTGTGCAGTCGTAAAAAAACGTCGCCAAGTTTCATGCCAGCAGTTGCCAGTAGCTGGTCTCGGCACAAACCAATTCCTTCCACCGAAACACAAACGCCGATTCATGGATCGTCCGGGTCAATTCCCGGTGTCAAATCCCGGGTGAACCCGGTGTTTGAACCCGGACAGGTTGGGATTGTCGCTGTCGTGCGTGCGGAGCGGCGCGCGCTTGTACCCGGCAGCTTGCGGTTCCTGAAGCAGACGATGGCGAGGAGGCCGATGACGACGAGGCTGATGGCCAGGACCGAGCCGACCACGATGCCGGTCTCGGCCACCTTGTCGCGTGGTGGTGTCGAGTCGGCGGCGGCGGCGGCGGCGGCGCAGTCTAAACCCTCTGGGTCGAAGCACGTCACCCTGAGCCCTGAGGAGGCCGCCAAGCGACAGAGTTAATGTTGTGGCCCAGTCGGGGACAGCCCCGCTCCTTATTTCATTTGTAGCATCGCCACATCCACAGGGCTGGAAGCAAACGGGTGGGGGGTGGCGGGGAGACACAAACTCCACGCGGAACGGCACCCGAGTTGGGAATCCAACCCGGGCGGTGAGGCGTGAGCATCGCCGCCACCCCGACCTTCGTTCCTCACCGGCGATGGCCGATTCCTCCTCCTGCGTCACGTCTCCGAACTCCAGGAGCAGCCGGTAGGCAGGCGCCGTGGCCCCCGCGAGCTTCGAGTCGTTGTGCATCCCCTTGGCAGCGGGCGGCACGCGCGCCACCAACGTCCACGCGGAGGGCGCCGCTCGGCCCCCTGGGGCGGCGGACGAAGCGTTCGACTGAACGATCACCGTGGTCAGGGCCCCCCAATTGCCACCGTTGTCGCCCCACCTCTTGAGACTCCACCTGAGCAGCGCCCAGCGCTTGTTGGCATCGAGGAAAACGGTGAACGAGGACAGCTTGGCGTCTGCGTGAGAGGGTCGGGGCGGATGGGTTACTCAATTAATTTTGATAATGTTGAAGTTCTGTGCAAAACTAGCTACTCCTGGCCAAGTCTAATTCGAGAATTTACTTAAATTGAGAGAAGTAAAAATAATTTTAACCGTTCGGATAGCCACAGACTTAGTGTTGCTTGGAAGCGAATCATCAAATAATACTTCGTGTAAATGCACTTCAATAGGGATTACCGTTGGTCTGGCTATTTTAGAAAACACAATATACAGGAAGTACAAGATAAATGGGCGCGCATAATGTGCATGCATCATGTACGTTGACTCATTAATTCCCCCCCCCCCCCCCACTTCCCGCAAGAAGAGCGCACAAGACTTGTCACCACATCTACGCCTCTATGTAAGGAACAAAACAGGTGGACTTCTCTACAAATCTGGCTGTCGCCTGATGAAGCTAGCTGTAATTACTGGCGAAACGTCACGGTACTCAGATTGTAAATGTTGTGGCTTGGCTCTCCAACACACACCGGTGTGCTGTACTAGTAACGAATTGGCCACGTTCTGTTGACGTGACAACCCTTACTAGTTGGCTGTGTCGGGTGGTGGCGGGTTTTAACGACACATTTATATATTTATGCGATCTAACCCAAAAAAACCTGTATTACGGAAGGCTTACGCTAAGTTTTTATGTGTGCCGGTCGTTCCAGATCGGAGGGTGGTACCCACTGGAACGTGGATCTTATGGCCCTGGCACCACACGCTAGCCGAGCCAGCGCAGGGCTGGCACGGTACGGGTGGTTTTCCACTGGTACCGCACGCGAGCCGAGCCAGCATGGGGCCCTTGCAGTACGATTCGCAGACCACGAATCACGAAGCCTCCGCAGGGGCGACCGAACAGCTTAATAATCGCTTCACATTGGCACGCGAAACAAGAAAATGTTCTCCAACCCCGAGCCCAAGCGAACCTCCCAGTCCCCCGTCTCGCCTGTGACGTCGATCGTCCGGTTCCGCGAGCCGACCTCGTTGGTGGCCACGCACGTGTACTCGCCCAGGAGCGAGTCCGGCCCGCCCGCGACGAGCAGCGTGGAGGTGCAGAGCGTCCCGTCGGAGGTCTCCTTCGTGAGGCCCACCGGCGTGCCGTTTCTGAACCACGAGAACTTGGGGGTCGGAGCCGCGTCGGCGGTGCAGTTCAAGTTCTCCTCGTGATTCAAGGCGGTGATGGCGACGGATTTGCCTGGGAGCAAATTCAGCCCTGGGGGGAACAGAGCAAACCACTCCATTGATACAGTGGGAAACACGTTCCGTGTCGAGAGCACCGCGCGCGCGTCTGTGTGCGCGTGTGCGGTGGGAGCGGTGGTGCAGCGATTAGCGCTACGCTGCACCACGAACCCGGCGACCCCAGTTCGATTCCCGCTCACGGCCAACACAAGTGATGGCGATGATCTGAACCGATCATGGGGCCTCCCCTAGGTCAACTCAGCCTCAAATGAGTACCCGGTGGTCGGGTTGACAATGGCGTTGGTCGTGAACACTGGAGGCCACGTGAAGGGAAAATAATCACACCTCCGAACAGGAGCGTTGGCTACGTACGGTGCGAAAGATGTTCAACATGCGTACAGCTGCAGTCACAGAATGTAATTATATTATTATATGGTATAGCTGAAGTCACAGACAGTGTAATTCTATTCTCGCACATGATGGCAGCAGCACTATGTTAAGGAGCTCGATGCCAATGTCGAGGTCTTGCTGCTGCTGATGCTCTCACGACGAGAGAGAGAGAGGGCTTCAGCAGAGAGAGATTTCGTGTCATGTCGCTGTTCCTCCTCCGTTGAAGGAGCGCAGACCACAGCGGGTTCACTGTGTGGTCCATCGTGTGGGTTACATGGCCAATAATTGCACCACTGTAGTTGTTTTTAATGTATCCATATGAGTTTGTATGGGTTTCTATTGGTATCTTGAGTTTGTTTTGGTCTCTATAGGTCTCTATGAGTTTGCTTGGGTCTCTACGAGTCTCTATGGGTCTCTATGAGTTTCTAAGGGCTTACTGTACGGTAACACATTTTTTTGGGTTGCATGGCCACAGTCGCACCACTGTGGGGGGGCCTGCGTCCTTAATTTCCCGCTGATGACGGGGACGCGATGCAGCATTGGGGCCAAGCTGCTGGCGGTCGACGTTCCGTCGCGGCCGAGGTTTTGTGGTTGCAGCCGCCACGCCGGCGCTCACAGATGACGACGAGCGCCTGGGGGTCGCTGCTCTCCACGCTCACGGCGTTGCTGACGCGGCAGCCGTAGCTGCCCCGGTCCTCCCGGCGCACCGGTCCCATCTTCATCTCGCTGCCGCGGCCCTCGCTGGGGATGAACTCACTGCCGCCGCGGAGCCAGGAGACCCGCAGCGCCGAGCCGGCGCCACCGCCACAGCCGCCGGCGCTCTTGCAGCTGCACAAGCCCCTGACGGTGTCCGTCCCTTCCACTGCTGTTGCCGGGCTCAGGGTGAACGTGGGCTTGGAGACCGCCTCTGTGTCGCACAAAAATACAAAGATCTCCCGTATAGACTGCTGGGGCCAGTGCTGTTAGTGAGCACTTACGAAGGCCCGCAGGCACACGAGCGGGTGGGGTGGCCAACAGCACGCCCGGCCGCCTTTGTCTTCCCAGTGAGGATGTTTACACACCGCACCATGGTACTCATTTGAGGCTGAGTTGACCTAGGGGAGGCGCAGGACCGGTTCAGATAATTGTCATTGGCGTTGACACACGCGCACACATGCACGCACACAAACGCAAAGTTAAAGGTCCCCGCGGTAGCTTTGAGACAAGCACAGCAAACAAGCCAAGTACTAACAACAGTAACTGGCCATCAGGCGACAAGACAAAGCTCTCCCGTCATAGCCTAACGCACCCTTTGGGACCGGTGCGGCCAGCGAGCGGCACCTGTTGAGTGGCCGGAATGCGGTGTTGGCCGGAATGCGGTGTTGGCCGGATTGCGCTATCGGCATCGCGTTGCCACGAGGTGAAGAATCCTTTCGGAAAATCTTCGAATGTATCCGGTATGATGGGCTCAATGTAAAATGAATCACACAGAATTGTGAATGGAGATAACGATGACCGTGGATTGGGCCCGGGACTCACGTGACTGCACAGTAGGCCACAGGATTCCTATTCAGTTTAACACGTAGGAGGCTTTGGCGACCTATGTCATCCATAATCGAGGTTTTTGGGTTAGTTCGCGTATTCAGATTCTGCTGGACGCTGTACAGGTCACACAGATTTACAGCTCCATAAAAATATAGCTTTTACTGCTTAATAATTACTGTTATTATTCTAATATAAATCAACGTATAGGGATTAAGTAATGTTAATTAGCTGCTGATTTTTTAATGATGGTAAATATATTCACAGTCCAGATTTTGATCATTAAAGACGAGTTTAATAATGTATTCAAGTAACTCGGGCGTGGGTGCAGAATATGAACACTTGTACTCAATCCCATCAATACAGCGCTTGAGCAACGAGGTGCTGTGTCACGTGGGGTCGATTGGTGTGCATCTGGTCATAATTAGATACACAAATCCTCAGAAGAACACTTTAAAATGAAGAGTTGCCATTCCACATCGCTCTGGTGTCCCTGGGTGGTGGAGTCACTCGATCCTCAAGAGGAGGGCAAAACACAATGCAGACTCATCCCCTCTAAACTCATCTATTAGTCTTTATTAGCTGACCGGTCCTCTCCTTACGATCATGGGAAGAGAGGGATGGGGCGAGCCGGTTATACAGGCAAGCGCAAGCCTCTGTGTGTTATGAGAAAATGGAAGCAGATATAACTGAGCTAGCTCTGAGAGCTTCTTCAAGTGACATTCCGGTCCACTCAGGACGGCCTCCAGAAATGGATATCACAGAACTACCTCCGAGATCACTTTTGCTTCCAGCAACCTCTGGTCCATACATAGCAGAGGACATCACTCGTGCGACTGTGGCCATGGAAACCCAAACTATGGACCGTACAGTAAACCCACTGGAGTCTGCACTCCTTCAACGGAGGAATATCAAAACAACACGAGCTCTCTCTCCGCTGAAGCCACCTTGTCGCAGCCAGCAGATGATCTCGACACTGGCATCGAGCTTTTGAATTCATTGTTGTCACTGCCATGACGTACAGCAGCTTTTGGATAACCGTTGAACAAAGATGGTCACCGCATCGCGCGGCGTTTTCGGATGTGCTGTAGCCATTTTGAACGGTCTTCCTTCTGACATTCAGAAGCACACTGGAGCTATGCCACTTTTAAATCGAGATTGAAAAACTAATTTCTTTAAAACTGCTTTAAGTGTTGTCCTTCCTTCTGTACCTCCGATTATCACGGTTGGGAATTACGCAAAATACGTTTAACATACACACGTACATACAAGAGTAGAACGGGATGTGCAGTGGTGTGGCGACTAGAAGGGGCCTCCTCCTCACCGTGCACGTCGAGCACCGTGGGTTGACTGGCCGCGCTGTAGAATGCGTTGGACGCGTGGCACGTGATCGTGACGTTGTCACCCGTGGTGACCGGCGCCAGGGTGAGCCTCGTCTGGTCCCGCGAGAGCGACGAGCGTGAGGAATCCGAGGAGCCCAGGACCTTGCCGCTCCTCAGCCACGCGTACGCCACTCCCCTCGTGGCGTTGGCGACGCACGCGAGGGTCACGTTGTCGCTGTCGGCCTTGAGGGGCCCCAGGCAGCTGACGTTCACCGACACCTCGAGCGGGCCTCCGTGCAGGGGAACGGGGGAAGGGGCAGGACAAGTTAGAGAGAGAATGACCCCATGGCGTCCCATCAAGTGATGATGCCAGCGCCTGACAAGGTGACATGGCTCTATTATATGACGACTGAACGCGTCTGAATTATCCGGCGACGCTGCCGACTCCCGCACATCCGATTAGCATGGTTGGCTACGTATGGTGTGAGAGTTCAACGTATATACGTACATATATACAGCAGTTATGTACGGTGTGAAAGAAGTTCGACAAAGATATAGAAGTACAACGGGATGTACAGTGGTGTGGCGACTAGAAGGGGCCTCCTCCTTACCGTGCACGTCAAGCAGCGTGGGTTGACTGGCCGCGCTGTAGAATGCGTTGGACGCGTGGCACGTGATCGTGACGTTGTCACCCGTGGCGACCGGCGCCAGGGTGAGCCTCGTCTGGTCCCGCGAGAGCGACGAGCGCGAGGAGTCCCAGGAGTCCAGGACCTTGCCGCTCCTCAGCCACGCGTACGCCACTCCCCTCGTGGCGTTGGCGACGCACGCGAGGGTCACGTTGTCGCTGTCGGCCTTGAGGGGCCCCGGCCAGCTGACGTTCACCGACACCTCGAGGGGGCCTCCGTGCGGGCGAAAGGGGCGGGGGGGGGGCGAGACGTGGCTCTATTATGTAGAGCAGGGGTGGGGAACGTCCGGCCCGTGGGCCGTACAAGGCCCGCGAAATCATTTGGTGTGGCCCTGCCAAGGCAACCGCAGGCCGGGACTCGAAATTCAATAAACCTAGGAGCAAACCTGGAGAAGCAGTTGCGAGTAGCAACATCATCAATACCAGCTAACATCATCACATGCCTCACCAAAGAGAAGCAGTTTCAGCCCATCACATTAGGGGTGAGTTAATTCAATGTTTGACCAAATATAACAGGCTAATTATTAAGTTGATAATTTTGTATGGCCCGCGAATGATGTTATAAGTATCCAAATGAACTGACGCCGCCACCGGTACTCCCGCACCTCCGATCAGCACGGTTGGCTACATACGGTGTGAGAGAAGTGCAACGTCCATGCGTACAGCTGCATTGCCAGTGGTGCACAAGCACAATGAATATTGTTTTCTAGTAAAAACTAGTTTCTCTATGCGCACACTTTTATTTTCACTCAAAAGTAGAAAATACGTTATTTTGACCACCAGAATAAATCAATTGTTACGTGCTGAATGAAATGAAAATGGGTAGCTTGCCTGAAGCAAATTCAACATATCGAAAGAAAACCACCCACTTTTATTCAGCACATCAAATTTGACTAATTCTGGGGTCAAAATTATGTACTTTGTACTTTTGAGTGCAAATAAAAGTGTGTGCATTGAAAAACAATTTTCACGCAATTTTTTTACCGTGAAAACTATTACAACTTTTTAACTACTATTTTATTTTACGAGGTAAGGCCTACTAGATCTATATAGCTGTTTTTTTCCGAAGTGACCTGGCCACAAATGATAGCCGAATAAAGTGTTTTATCATGGGAAATTTATAGCAGCCAAATACTCTAAGCACATGTTTCTAGATGTAGAGGGAAAAACCGGAGTTACCCAGAGAGCAATGTACGCAGCCATGGGGAGACCTTACAAACTCCAAATATACAGGCGTGTGGGTCAGCATCAAACCCACGACTTCCTGTATACCAAGCGAGGTAGCTAACATCTCGTCACCGCCACCCGGCTATCATGGGCTGCTGCTGATGATATTTGTGATGAATGATTTGGCACCAAAAGTTTACGAAGGTGGCATTGGCATTGGACTCACCGTAGACGGTCAAGGTGATGCTGCTAATGATTACTGGAGCGATGCCTTTTTGAAATCGAAAAACTAATTTCTTTAAACTGCTTTTCGTGTTTAGTGCTGTCCTTCCCGCTCCTCCGAGTAGCAAGGTTGGCGACGTATTATGCGAAAGAAGTGCATCATACACACGTACATAAAACATGACTACGTATGGTGTGAAATAAGTTCAACGTACACACAAGAGTAGAATGGGACGGCCAGTGATTTGGCAACTGGAAGAGGGCTCCTCACCGTGCACGTCAAGCAGCGTGGGTTGACTGGCCGCGCTGTAGAATGCGTTGGACGCGTGGCACGTGATCGTGACGTTGTCACCCGTGGTGACCGGCGCCAGGGTGAGCCTCATCTGGTCCCGCGAGAGCGACAAGCGCGAGGAATCCCAGGAGTCCAGGACCTTGCCGCTCCTCAGCCACGCGTACGCCACTCCCCTCGTGGCGTTGGCGACGCACGCGAGGGTCACGTTGTCGCTGTCGGCCTTGAGGGGCCCCGGCCAGCTGACGTTCACCGACACCTCGAGGGGGCCTCCGTGCGGGCGAAAGGGGGGTGGGGGGGGGCAGGACAAGTTCAAAAGGATGACCCCTTGGCGCCCCGTCAAGTGATGCCAGCACCTTACAACGCGACGTGGCTTTACTAAATAGCGACAGAACACATCCTCATTACCTGGCGATGCCGCCGGTACTCCCGCACCACCGATTAGCACGGTTGGCTACGTACGATGCCAGAGAAGTTCAGCTGCGTTGGCAGTTTGCACAAGCACAATGAACAAACAGGGAACTCAACACATTTGTCAACAACACTAGTCTTAAAAGGAAAGATAATATAACAAGTGACGTTCCTGAATACCTTTTCCATCTTGATATTTTATTCTCCTGAACTTCGGAACGTCCTTTTAAGTTCAAAGAGTTGGCCCCTGGTAGTTTCTGCGGCACTAAAGCCAGGCTGCTGCCTGCTGCTGCACCTATTTGATTTTATGCTTCTATCAGCTAAATACACAGGGAAGTTCAACCTCTGTAGGCCCCACCACAATCTTCTTTATGCCACACCCCCTCTCTGATGAGGCCCTGCTCATTCCTCTTTCGGCTCTGCTCCTTTCCTTTTTAGGCCCCGCCCATATTTAGGCTCCGCCCATATTTTAGGCCCTGCCTCTTTCTGTAGAGACCCTTCCTCCGGGCACGGGGTGGGGCCGGCGTGGGGCGTGGTGGGGGTGTGAAAGGCGGGGGTGGTGGGGGACAGTGTGCCAGGGCTTGGTCAGGGGGAGGGGCTGGGTCAGTCCGGGTAGGGTTTGGAGAAGCTTCCAGAACCCCTCTGAGAGCAGCAATAAATAACAACATATTTGTGATCGCGTTACAAACAACAACGTGAGAATTCGCGACCGATAATGGCTTAAACGGCGAGGCGCCCACGCAGCCTCCGTACCGTGCACGTCAATCTCCGCGGCTGGGCTCCGCGTGCTGAAGAATGGGTTGGAGGCGCTGCAGGTGACCGAGTGGTCGTCTCCCGGCAGCACGGGAACGATGGTGAGGAGGCGGCCGTCCTCCGACAGCGAGTAGCCCAGCGGGTTCCAGCCGCTCAGCGCCACTCCGTTCCTCTGCCACGCGAATCTCACGCCGTCCGTGGAATTGGCCTCGCACGCGAGGCTCACGTTGTCGCTGTTGGCTTTGAGAGGCCCCGGTTTGCTGACGTTCACCGACACCGCGAGAGGGCCTTGCGTTGGGGAGCGGCAGGACGAATAGATCACAAATCACGACGTTATTTGCGGTGCTGCCGCAGCATTAGCAGTGGCACACAAGCGCAGTGAACAAATACCACTCGGCACGGTTCCCTGTCAATCACAACACCGCACGCGTGTGTGTACCTTCCCTGACTCGAAATTTGTGGACACGAGCTTTATAGCTCATCGGAATCCTCTGGTAGAAATAAATATTCTGATTCGGATGTGTGTGGCCTTGAAAGGAAAAATATAAAATAGACGATGGTTTGGGCAATGGTCCTTTTTTGTTATTTGTGCGTGTGTACTGCTGTCGATGCAGCATCACCAATTGACGAGTTTTTTTATACAAGTGAGAGGAACCCGGAGCACCTGGACAATACCCACGAGTGCGAGGGGGCAACACTCTATCCCATACAGCAGCAACAGATGGAGTCCACATTTTTGCTATACCATGGGGTACTGCTCGTCATCGACGGCCGTGAGAAGGCAGTTGGGACAAATAGAGATGAGTCCACACGTTTCTGTACTGCCTTCTGGCGAGCCAGGGAGTTGGCACCTCCTCAACCCCTACGCGAAGGGAGTTTCACAGCAACATCTGTGCGGTGATCTACCAACCCTCACTGCTGCTGCTGCTGCCTCCACACTACTTTTGGGGTACAGCAGCCACGTGCGCTGTAGCCGCCACCCGGCTATCACGGGCTGCTGGTGAAGATGATTGTGGTGACGAATGATTTGGGCACCAAAATTATACGAAGGTGACATTGGCGTTGGACTCACCTCAGATGGCCAAGGTCATGCTGGTCATGGTTACTGCAGCTATGCCACTTTTAAATCGAGATCGAAATTTTTTTTTTATTAAAATTGCTGTTCGTGTTTAGTGTTGTGATTCCCCCACACCTCCGATTAGCACCGTTGGCTACGTACGATACGAAAGAAGTTCCAACATACATACACACATACAACATACATACAACATGGCTAGTATGGCGGGAAAGAAGTTCAACGCGTACACGTACACACAAGAGTAGAACGGGATGTGCAGTGGTGTGGCGACTAGAAGGGGCCTCCTCCTCACCGTACACGTCAAGCACCGTGGGTTGACTGGCCGCGCTGTAGAATGCGTTGGACGCGTGGCACGTGATCGTGACGTTGTCACCCGTGGTGACCGGCGCCAGGGTGAGCCTCGTCTGGTCCCGCGAGAGCGACGAGCGTGAGGAATCCGAGGAGTCCAGGACCTTTCCGCTCCTCAGCCACGCGTACGCCACTCCCCTCGTGGCGTTGGCGACGCACGCGAGGGTCACGTTGTCGCTGTCAGCCTTGAGGGGCCCCGGCCAGCTGACGTTCACCGACACCTCGAGGGGGCCTCCGTGCGGGCGAAAGGGGTGGGGGGGGGCAGGACAAGTTCAAGGGAATGACCCAGTGGTGCCCCCCCAAGTGACGATGCCAACACCTTACAACACGACGTGGCTCTATTGCATATAGCGACTGAACGCATCCGCACGGTTGGCTACGTACGGTGCCAGAGAAGTTCAACGTACATACGGACAGCTGCGTTGGCAGTGGTGCACAAGCAAATTGAACACACAAGAAACAACACAACAACACGTTTGTCAACAACACTATGTGGTGTTAAAAGCAAAGAATATAACTGGTGACGTTTCTGAAGACGTTTTCCCTCTTTGGATGTTATTCTCCTGCGCTTCGAAACGTCTTTTAAAGTTCAACAAGTTGGCCCCTGGCAGCTTGTGCGGCACAAAAGTCAGACTGCTGCCTGTTGCTGCTGCACCAATTTGACATGATGCTAATATCGGCTAAATCAACAGGGAAGTTCAACCTATACAGGCCCCACCACAATCTTTATGCCACTTTCTGATGAGGCTCTGCCTCTTCTTCTTTTGGCTCTGCACCTTTCCTTTTAGGAGCCACCCATTTTTATATTTTAGGCCCCGCCTCTCTCTGTATAGGCCCGTCCCCCGGACACGGACGGGACCAGTGTGACTCGTGGTAGCGGTGTGAAATTGGAGGCTGGGTAAGTAGTGGTAGGGGCTGGGTAAGTAGGGGTAGGGGCTGGCTCAGTAGGGGTAGGAGCTGGATCACTAGGAGTAGCGGCTGGGTCGGTAGGGGTAGGGTTTGGGGCAGCTTCCAGAATCCCTCTGAGAGCAGCAATAGAGAACATCAGATTCGTGCGCGTTGTCCCAAACGCAGCGTGAGAATTCGCGACCGATAATGGCAAACGGCGAGGCTCCCACGCAGCCTCCGTACCGTGCACGTCAATCTCCGCGGCTGGGCTCCGCGCGCTGAAGAATGGGTTGGAGGCGCTGCAGGTGACCGAGTGGTCATCTCCCGGCAGCACGGGAGCGATGGTGAGGAGGCGGCCGTCCTCCGACAGCGAGTAGCCCAGCAAGTCCCTCCGGGACAGATCCACTCCATTCATCTGCCACGCGAATTTAACGCCATCCGTGGAATTGGCCTCGCACGCGAGGCTCACGTTGTCGCTGTTGGCTTTGAGAGGCCCCGGTTTGCTGCCGTTCACCGACGCCGCGAGAGGGCCTTGCGAGAGGGAGCGGCAGGACGAGTAGATCGCAAATCACGACGTTATTTTCAGTGCTGCTGCATTGGCAGTGGTGCTCAAGCATAGTGAACAAACCCACTCGGCAGGGTTCCGTGTCATTGACAACAACGCATGCGTGTGTGTACCCGCCCGGACTGGAAATATGTGGAAAAAATATTTATAGCTCATCAGATTCTTCTAGTAGAAATAAATATTCTGAATTCTGATGTGTGTGGCCTTGAACAAATAGACGATGTTTTGGGCAATGGACCTTTTTTGTTATTTGCGCTTGTGTACCACTGTCGCAGCATAACCAAATAAGATATTTTCACTATTGACATGTTTTCAGTCAACGAGTCTTTTATACAAGTGGGAGGAACCCGGAGCACCTGTACTAAACCCATGCGTGCGAGGGGGCAACACTCTATCCCATGCAGACGGAACAGGTGGAGTCCACGTGGGGTGCTGCTCCTCATCGACGCCAAACCCTCGCTGCTGCTGCTGCTGTTGCCTCCACAGCGCTGTTGGGGTACAGCAGCCACGTGCGCTACAGCCACCACCGCCACCCGACTATCACGGGCTGCTGCTGCTGCTGAAGATTTCGGTGAAGAACGATTCGGCACCAAAAGTATACGAAGGTGACATTGGCATTGGACTCACCGTAGACGGTCAAGTTGATGTTGGTATTGGTTACTTTCATTCCCCTCTTCACAGCCACGTTGAACGCCCCACTGTCGCTCTCCTGCAGGGCCCTGATTTGCAGCGATCCATTAGCAAAGGGTTTTGCGCGGCCTCCAAACATCTGGGACAGCTGCAACGTGAGCAGAGAAACAATGATCAGAATATGTATTTGTACTGGAGGAATCTGATTAATACGGCGCACGAATGGCTAACTCGGATCGATGTACGACGATAAAAGGCCATCGCAACAGACGCATTGGTGCAGGCTGGTTAGTGATGCTGTTAAAGACAAAGATCCTCGCGATAACCTTAGTAGATTGTTGGGGCAAGTGCTTTTAGCGAGCACATATATAAGGCTGGCACACGAGGGGGCGGGTGGCCAGCACCACACCTGACCGCCTTTGTCTCTCCAGTGGCAATGTGTAAACATTGCTACTGGTTAAGATAATCGTCGTCGGTGTTGGCCTTGAGTGGGAATCGTATTTGGGTTGCCGAATTCGTAGCGCAGCGCGCTAACCGTTGCACTACCGCAGTGCTGTACACACACAGAAGCCTGCAGGCATTGCCCGTACAAAAGCTCTCAAGCTTGTCCAGATCACCAGACCAAAAAGAACTGCAGAAAAAATATCAAACCGGCTCAAACTGGTATAAATGCAAAACCTTCCTGAACAAGAGCAATTGTGTACTCTTTGGTTCTATTGGGTAAAGTCACGTAGGCAAAAAATAAAATAACAAAAATCACGACGTTTCGGCCACAACACAAGCGGCCTTCATCAGGTGAAGGGACGAGATTGTCTGGAGACAGCGCTGTCCTCCAGACAGTCTCGTCCCTTCACCTGATGAAGGCCGCTTGTGTTGTGGCCGAAACGTCGTGATTTTTGTTATTTTATTTTTTACCTACGTGACTTTACCCAATAGAACCAAAGAGTATGGATCCTAGCAGTCACGAAAGCTTTAAATCTAGAAGAGCAATTGTGCTCACACTGGCTTTCCTGGATAATTGAGTAACTTTCTATTATCGTATTGACGATGTTGCTGCATGGTTTGCCATTAGCCACCCACCTGGCAGATTAAAGTGCAGTACTCACCGTAGCATAATCCGGCCTTTTGGGATCCCAGCTCGCGATGATCGTGTACGCGTTTGGCGGGGACAGACACTGCCACTCGAACTCCGTCACGCCGGCCAGATCCTCGTCCTTGGTGCCCGCCTGCAGCAGCGCGTCGCTACCCACGCCCTGTCGGACCCATTCCAACCCCGTCGCTCTGCTGCCATCCGCGGCAGCTGCTAGAGCAGGGGGAAGGGGGGCAGGAGAAAAAGAGAGCGATCTTTCAAGAGCCGCAATGCTCTGCGGTGAATTACGAGACGGTGGTGGTCCTAATAAATAATAATGTCACGGAGCAGTCCTTCATGTGGAGCCGCAGATTGCCGACCCCTGCCAATGGTAAACTGAACTCCCATGGTGAACTCGACTCCCATCATAAACTGGACTCCCACGGTGAACTGAACTCCCATGGTAAACTGAACTCCCACGGTAAACTGGACTCCCATGGTTAACTCGACTCCCATGTTGAACTAGACTCCCATGGTGAATTAGACTCCCATGGTGAACTAGACTCCCATGGTGAACTGGACTCCCATGGTGAACTGGACTCCCATGGTGAACTAGACTCCCATGGTGAACTAGACTCCCATGATGAATTGGACTCCCGTGGTGAACTGGACTCCCATGGTAAACTGGACTCCCATGGTAAACTGGACTTCTATGGTGAACTAGACTCCCATGGTGAACTAGACTCCCATGGTAAACTGGACTCCCATGGTAAACTGGACTCCCATGGTGAACTGGACTCCCGTGGTGAACTGGACTCCCATGGTGAACTGGACTCCCATGGTAAACTGGACTCCCATGGTGAACTGGACTCCCATGGTGAACTAGACTCCCATGGTAAACTGGACTCCCATGGTAAACTGGACTCCCATGGTGAACTGGACTCCCGTGGTGAACTGGACTCCCATGGTGAACTGGACTCCCATGGTAAACTGGACTCCCATGGTGAACTGGACTCCCATGGTGAACTAGACTCCCATGGTAAACTGGACTCCCATGGTGAACTGGACTCCCGTGGTGAACTGGACTCCCATGGTGAACTGGACTCCCATGGTGAACTGGACTCCCATGGTAAACTGGACTCCCATGGTAAACTGGACTCCCATGGTGAACTAGACTCCCATGGTGAACTAGACTCCCATGGTAAACTGGACTCCCATGGTAAACTGGACTCTCATGGTGAACTGGACTCCCGTGGTGAACTGGACTCCCATGGTAAACTGGACTCCCATGGTGAACTGGACTCCCATGGTGAACTGGACTCCCATGGTAAACTGGACTCCCATGGTAAACTGGACTCCCATGGTGAACTAGACTCCCATGGTGAACTAGACTCCCATGGTAAACTGGACTCCCATGGTAAACTGGACTCCCATGGTGAACTGGACTCCCGTGGTGAACTGGACTCCCATGGTGAACTGGACTCCCATGGTAAACTGGACTCCCATGGTGAACTGGACTCCCATGGTGAACTAGACTCCCATGGTAAACTGGACTCCCGTGGTGAACTGGACTCCCATGGTGAACTGGACTCCCATGGTGAACTGGACTCCCATGGTAAACTGGACTCCCATGGTAAACTGGACTCCCATGGTGAACTAGACTCCCATGGTGAACTAGACTCCCATGGTAAACTGGACTCCCACGGTGAACTGGACTCCCGTGGTGAACTGGACTCCCATGGTGAACTGGACTCCCATGGTAAACTGGACTCCCATGGTAAACTGGACTCCCATGGTGAACTGGACTCCCATGGTGAACTAGACTCCCATGGTGAACTGGACTCCCATGGTAAACTGGACTCCCATGGTAAACTGGACTCCCATGGTGAACTGGACTCCCATGGCGAACTGAACTCCCATGGTGAACGTCGTAGCGGCAGCCGCATCACCGCGTCATTCGTCTACAGACAAAGATCCCCCGTGTAGCCCCTTGTAGACTGTTGGGGCAAGTGCTCCTCGTCACCCGTGGCTCGGGGTCACTTAGAGATGTTGGTGTGCAGACATGCGCTCAGGAGGTTTGGCCAGCTATCGATACACCGATCGCGTTCTAGACATAACAGTATCGGTCCATCGTATTGAAATACAGCCCTCTACAGCATACACAACTTAACATCACAGCTTACGACGAAGTCGTGGCGCGTGTGCCTCACAGCAGGAAGTTATCCTGTGTTCGAAGTGTGGAGTTTGTATGATCTCTCCATGTTCTTTATCACGTGTGAGTGAGTGGAGTTTGTATGATCTCTCCCTGTTCTTTATAATGAGTGAGTGAGTGGAGTTTGTATGATCTCTCCCTGTTCTTTATAATGAGTGAGTGGAGTTTGTATGATCTCTCCCTGTTCTGCAGAATGTGTGAGTGAGTGGAGTTTGTATGATCTCTCCCTGTTCTTTATCACGTGCGAGTGAGTGAGTGGAGTTTGTATGATCTCTCCCTGTTCTTTATAATGAGTGAGTGAGTGGAGTTTGTATGATCTCTCCCTGTTCTGCAGAATGTGTGAGTGAGTGGAGTTTGTATGATCTCTCCCTGTTCTTTATCACGTGCGAGTGAGTGAGTGGAGTTTGTATAATCTCTCCCTGTTCTTTATAATGAGTGAGTGAGTGGAGTTTGTATGATCTCTCCCTGTTTTTTATAATGAGTGAGTGAGTGGAGTTTGTATGATCTCTCCCTGTTCTTTATCATGTGCGAGTGAGTGAGTGGAGTTTGTATAATCTCTCCCTGTTCTTTATAATGAGTGAGTGAGTGGAGTTTGTATGATCTCTCCCTGTTCTTTATAATGAGTGAGTGGAGTTTGTATGATCTCTCCCTGTTCTTTATAATGAGTGAGTGGAGTTTGTATGATCTCTCGCTGTTCTTTATAATGAGTGAGTGAGTGGAGTTTGTATGATCTCTCCCTCTTCTGCAGAATGTGTGAGTGAGTGGAGTTTGTATGATCTCTCCCTGTTCTTTATCATTTGCGAGTGAGTGGAGTTTGTATAATCTCTCCCTGTTCTTTATAATGAGTGAGTGAGTGGAGTTTGTATGATCTCTCCCTGTTCTTTATAATGAGTGAGTGAGTGGAGTTTGTATGATCTCTCCCTGTTCTTTATAATGAGTGAGTGAAGTTTGTATGATCTCTCGCTGTTCTTTATAATGAGTGAGTGAGTGGAGTTTGTATGATCTCTCCCTGTTCTTTATAATGAGTGAGTGAGTGGAGTTTGTATGATCTCTCCCTGTTCTTTATAATGAGTGAGTGAGTGGAGTTTGTATGATCTCTCCCTGTTCTGCAGAATGTGTGAGTGAGTGGAATTTGTATGATCTCTCCCTGTTCTTTATCATGTGCGAGTGAGTGAGTGGAGTTTGTATAATCTCTCCCTGTTCTTTATAATGAGTGCATGAGTGGAGTTTGTATAATCTCTCCCTGTTCTTTATAATGAGTGAGTGAGTGGAGTTTGTATAATCTCTCCCTGTTCTGCAGAATGTGTGAGTGAGTGGAGTTTGTATGATCTCTCCCTGTTCTTTATAATGAGTGAGTGAGTGGAGTTTGTATGATCTCTCCCTGTTCTGCAGAATGTGTGAATGAGTGGAGTTTGTATGATCTCTCCCTGTTCTGCAGTTCATTTAGTTCCATTTATTTGGTATAGCCCTGTGAGCCATTCGGCTCTTGAATCGGGTGCAACCGCAACAAACAAAAAACACGAACAAGAAAACATCTTAAAGTGATTATGTGACTGTGCAAAACAGAAAATCCAGGAAAAAAACCATCAAAATATTCCTGAAATAGCACCGTACACCAACGCTGGATGTGTGAGTGAGTGGAGTTTGTGCGTTCTCTCCCTGTTCTGCAGAATGTGTGGACGTCCTATTCACCTGCACTGCGTAGTGTTTCTCTGGGTTATCCGATTTCATCCCATAGCCACACAAACACAGCGTAACCGGTTTTTGGCACAAAAAAATCCCCAATGCTGACCAACATTTTTCCCCACAAATCACTCAATTGGGATCACGCAGCAGCAGCATCGCCTCCCCTCCTGAATAAGACCCTTGAGACTCGGTGAGACATTCCTGGGGGCACGAGTGTAATACCGGTAGCAGCAATAACACCATGGAAAACACCCCCTAGTCCTCACTATAATGCCACCGTGTTTGAGGCTGTGTCTGTATTATAATTACTATGGCAGATTTAAATTAGTATTATTTTACAAATGCAGCATGCTATTTGATGATAATCTATATTTAACTTACATTTCCTTTAAATACATATTTTTAATATTGCGATTACGATTTGCTAGCAATTTGTTTATTTCTCTTATATGTTATTGTTTATTATCATGTTTTTGTTTTACTGTGACTTGTTGCGTTTGTTGGAAAAGCGCTTGTGTTGTTGTTTGTGTTGATGAAACACCGAGTCAAGGGCTTATTGGCTCACAGGGCAACTCAAAATGAACTGAAACGGAGGCGATCTCGTGCGAGAGGACTCGTGCAGGGCGCCGAGTTTGTCTTACCTCGCCAGGAGAGCGTCGTGAAGACGCCGAGGAGGAGGAGGAGGCACGTGGCGAGGGGCGACCTCATCGCCTGCCACCACGCCGCCCCTGGCCGACTTGCGACTCGGAGCTGAGAAGATGTGAGACACGGGGAGATAAGATGTGAGACACGGGGAGAGAAGATGTGAGACACGGGGAGATAAGATGTGAGACACGGGGAGATAAGATGTGAGACACGGGGAGAGAAGATGTGAGACACGGCGAGATAAGATGTGAGACTCAGTGAGATAAGATGTGAGACACGGGGAGAGAAGATGTGAGACACGGGGAGAGAAGATGTGAGACACGGGGAGATAAGATGTGAGACACGGGGAGATAAGTTGTGAGACACGGGGAGATAAGATGTGAGACACGGGGAGATAAGATGTGAGACAGGGGGAGATAAGATGTGAGACACGGGGAGATAAGATGTAAGACTCAGTGAGATAAGTTGTGAGACTCAGTGAGATAAGATCTGAGACACGGGGAGATGAGATGTGAGACACGGGGAGAGAAGATGTGAGACACGGGGAGATAAGATGTGAGACACGGGGAGATAAGTTGTGAGACACGGGGAGATAAGATGTGAGACACGGGGAGATAAGTTGTGAGACACGGGGAGATAAAATGTGAGACACGGGGACAGAAGATGTGAGACACGGGGAGATAAGATGTGAGACACAGGGAGATAAGATGTGAGACACGGGGAGATAAGATGTGAGACACGGGGAGAGAAGATGTGAGACTCAGTGAGATAAGATGTGAGACACGGGGAGATAAGATGTGAGACACGGGGAGAGAAGATGTGAGACACGGGGAGATAAGATGTGAGACACGGCGAGATAAGTTGTGAGACACGGGGAGATATGATGTGAGACTCCGTGAGATAAGATGTGAGACACGGGGAGAGAAGATGTGAGACACGGGGAGAGAAGATGTGAGACACGGCGAGATAAGATGTGAGACACGGGGAGAGAAGATGTGAGACACGGCGAGATAAGATGTGAGACTCAGTGAGATAAGATGTGAGACACGGGGAGAGAAGATGTGAGACACGGGGAGAGAAGATGTGAGACACGGGGAGATAAGATGTGAGACACGGGGAGATAAGTTGTGAGACACGGGGAGATAAGATGTGAGACACGGGGAGATAAGATGTGAGACAGGGGGAGATAAGATGTGAGACACGGGGAGATAAGATGTGAGACTCAGTGAGATAAGTTGTGAGACTCAGTGAGATAAGATCTGAGACACGGGGAGATAAGATGTGAGACACGGGGAGAGAAGATGTGAGACACGGGGAGATAAGATGTGAGACACGGGGAGATAAGTTGTGAGACACGGGGAGATAAGATGTGAGACACGGGGAGATAAGTTGTGAGACACATGGGAGATAAAATGTGAGACGCGGGGACAGAAGATGTGAGACACGGGGAGATAAGATGTGAGACACAGGGAGATAAGATGTGAGACACGGGGAGATAAGATGTGAGACACGGGGAGAGAAGATGTGAGACTCAGTGAGATAAGATGTGAGACACGGGGAGATAAGATGTGAGACACGGGGAGAGAAGATGTGAGACACGGGGAGTTAAGATGTGAGACACGGGGAGATAAGTTGTGAGACACGGGGAGATATGATGTGAGACTCCGTGAGATAAGATGTGAGACACGGGGAGAGAAGATGTGAGACACGGGGAGAGAAGATGTGAGACACGGGGAGAGAAGATGTCAGATTGACGGACGTAAGATGCGTGCCTCGGGGAGGGCAATTGATGATCTCACGCAGAGAATGTGTGAGGAGTCGAGTGAGCAGGAGGCGGAAAGTGTGACTCTGATACTCTTCACGCATCGAGGCGGCCCACGCACAGCTCGTCACGAAGGATATGAGCAGTGTGTGAGGGTCGGTGTGTGTGTGTGTGAGTCGGGGCGTGCGTGTGTGTGTGTGAGCGTCGGTGTGTGTGTGAGTCGGTGTGTGTGTGTGAGGGTCGGTGTGTGTGTGAGTCGGGGCGTGCGTGTGTCTGTGTGTGAGAGTAGGTGTGTGTGTGTGAGTCGGGGCGTGCGTGTGTGTGAGAGTCGGTGTGTGTGTGAGTCGGTGTGTGTGTGTCTGTGTGTGAGAGTCGGTGTGTGTGTGAGTCGGTGTGTGTGTATGCGTTTGTCTGTGTGTGAGAGTCGGTGTGTAGTGAGTCGGTGTGTGAGTCGGTGTGTGAGAATCGGTGTGTGTGTGTGAGAGTCGGTGTGTGTGTGAGAGTCGGTGTGTGTGTGTGCGTGTATGTGTGAGTCGGTGTGTGAGTCGGTGTGTGAGAGTCGGTGTGTGAGCGGGTCGGTGTGTGTGTGTGAGAGTCGGTGTGTGTGTGAGAGAGTCGGTGTGTGTGTGTGTGAGAGGGTCGGTGTGTGTGTGTGAGGGTCGGTGTGTGTGTGAGAGTCGGTGTGTACGAGTCGGTGTGTGTGTGTGAGAGTCGGTGTGTGTGTGTGTGCGTGTATGTGTGAGTCGGTGTGTGAGTCGGTGTATGTGTGTGTGTGAGTCGGTGTGTGTGTGTGAGTCGGTGTGTGTGTGTGTGAGTCGGTGTGTGTGCGTGGAGCGGTGGCGCAGCGGTTAGCGAGCTGCGCTACGCACCCGGCGTCCCGAGTTCGATCACGGCTCACGGTCAATTAAAGTGGCGATTATCTGAACCGGACCTGGGCCTCCCCTCAGTCTCAAATGAGTAGCTGGTGTGGTGTGTAAACATCACCATTGGGGAGACAAAGGCGACCGGGCGTGGTGCTGGCCACCCACCCCCTCGTGTGCCGTGCCGGCCTTCATCAGCGCTCAGAATGATGTCTCTGACTTGCGCGTGTTCTCTAACGCGTACATTCCTCCCCTCTCGATGTCGTCTTATGCCTTTCGTGTGTGCCACGATGTTACTGCATGCATGTGTAATTCAGTGGGGGCGTGTGTGCCATTGCGCGTGTGCCACGGTGTTGCTGCATGCATGTGTAATTCAAGCTGGGTAATTGTGTTCCGTCGTGTGTACTTATTTATATATATTTGGAAGCGACATCGTCGTTCATGCAAATTCCGTCTCAATCGCCGAGGCAACCACAAAGCAGCTGGAATGCAGCAGCCAGGCGACAAGACGGCGCCTCCAATTGCCAAAGCTCTGCGGTTCTCTATATACAGGATTAACATGTCCAGCCAATTATATTTATTCATGATTGTAATTAGCAAGCGTTTATACGCGTGGGCGAAACCCCACGCGCGCGAAGGGGCAACGGGCTATCCCGTTCAGACGGAACAGGTGGGAGCCCACATTTACTGTCTCCTGCCTCCTCCTGATGAGCTACGGCTGCGGTGATCCATCAACCCTCGCTGCTGCCTCCACAGTGCTGGATTACGGCTGCCACGTGCAGCGTGGCCACCCCTGCCATGGGCGACACAGACGGAGAACGCGCCGGACAGGGCTGCCACGGCGGCGGGGGGATGGAGCGGTGGAATCCGTTGGCGTGCGGGAGCCCAACGTGGTTCATGTTGCTTCTCCAGACCGTGAGAGGTGGCACCTCGCGGGCATCTCAGCCCCTGAACGCTCGCAGCGAGCCTTCCGTGAATCACGTGACGGCCTCCAGGCGCACCTAGCCTGGCACAAAGCGCCTTGGCGAAACCAGTGGCGCTGCGTGGTGGCAGTGGCGCTTATTGGTGTGGTGTTCTGTGGGTCAGAGACGAGAGATATACATCGTTGACAGCATTGTTGATTGGTGTAACAGGTGTTATAGGCTGCAGAGAGCGGTGCAACAAAATCGACGCTGCCCGCGTCGATGCTCCGTCTTACACCAACCCGCACTTACCAGCGTGGTGAAGTATGGTCAAATGACCGCCACTTCCGGCACGGTGTGGATAGGTCCTCATCCAGCGGTGCATTGAAAACAATGGCCAGCGTGAGATGCTCTCTGTTATTTAATTTGAAAGTCAACAAGGAAGGAAAGTCACGTGACACTTTGCAAAACGAGTGTGCTTTCAGTGCTGCTCTTTTTCTAGCTTAAAAGTCTCCTGTGCAGCAGAGCGGAGCGGAATCGGGCGAAGCAGCTTGGACGTGTGGAAGCGGAGGAGGTTGCAGGGTGTGGAATGCGGTAGGGTTGCGAATCGCATGCGGCAGGAGAGCGCAAGGAGATGGACATCTTTGCACGACGTCGCGTGACGGAGACGGCGATTATCGGAAAATGTTTCGAGGCATTTCCAGACGATGAATCAGAGTGGTGGGCGTCAAAAGCGGGAGAGTCACCCGGCGTGTGCCCTCCTCGCCGCTACGAGAGCCCCACCGCCTCCTCCTGTCCCCAACTCTGCCGCCTCAGCTGTGGTGCTCCAGCGGCGCGTGGACTCGCCGCACACCGCCTCACCCGCTCGCTTCTCCAGGCGTGCGCCGGGCGAACTTCGGGTGAAACTCGGGTGAACATTGGGCGAACCTCGGGTGAACATTCGGTGAACATTGGGTGAACATTGGGTGAACCTCGGGTGAACATTGGGTGAACCTCGGGTGAACATTGGGTGAACATTCGGTGAACCTCGGGCGAACTTCGGGTAAACTTCGGGCGGACCTCGGGTGAACTTTGGGCGAACCTCGGGTGAACATTGGGCGAACCTCGGGCGAACCTCGGGTGAACTTCGGGCGAACTTCGGGTGAACATTGGGCGAACCTCGGGTGAACCTCGGGTGGACTTCGGGCGGACTTCGGGTAAACTTCGGGCGAACCTCGGGTGAACATTGGGCGAACCTCCGGTGAACATTGGGCGAACCTCGGGTGAACCTCGGGCGAACCTCGGGTGAACCTTGGGTGAACATTGGGCGAACCTCGGGTGAACTTCGGGTAAACTTCGGGCGAACCTCGGGCGAACTTCGGGTAAACTTCGGGCGAACCTCGGGCGAACTTCGGGTGAACATTGGGTGAACTTCGGGTGAACATTGGGTGAACTTCGGGTGAACATTGGGCGAACTTCGGGTGAACATTGGGTGAACTTCGGGTACGCGTGCGACTCCACCTGCGCAGGACCGACCGGTCGCTCACGTTCTGAGATTTGCATCGCCTCCCACTCAGCCTCGCGGCCCCCTCGCTAGGAACTGTGCCCAGGCGTCACGTGCTCGCCCTTGACGCACGCCTCAGCGGCGTTCATCCTGG